CTAGATCCGAAGAACACCATACCGTTCGATGACAAAAAGGATTGCCTAAATACTTGTACTTTTGATGGGACCTAGCGTCATTTTTGACCCGCAGAGACACAAATCCCTTTCTGTTGCAGAACACAATGGGTCGAAATCATTTTAGATGCAAACTTTGTGCTCGGTTTCAAGATGAAGACACATTTTTCTATCATTTTCTCCATTTTCACCAAGATTCAACTGATTTGGCTGACGAAATTTACATCTTATTCTCTAAAGATTCAACAGCGAATTGCCTCCTTTTGAATATATGTTGCGAATTGTTCTTGGAAACTCTCTAAATCAGAATGAATAGGCACCATAGTTTGCTTGAGTAGATCATATTTTTATACCATCCAAATTTAGGTTTAAGAATTCAATTATTAGTTCTTCATGAGGTCTTGAAGAGCACAAAAGTTGGAGTCATAGCCCATATATTGTTGACAAAAAAAGATTTCACTGCACAACTGTAAGGCTAGCTTAAAGTAAATATTGAATTAGTACAAATTATTGTTTTATGCTAAAAATGTAACCCAGACTGAATCACTTTGAGTAATAAACATTTGTTGTTCTCATCAGAAGACAACAAAGAATTCTTGTTCATCTGCCCCCGTCCACCTTTACACAATTTACGAACTGACCTTTTTCGGATACGCTGGAACTGGCTGCCATAAATGCCATAAATGCTGACATACTTTCATTTTTAAGGATTTACTCAGCCTTTGTTGCATGTATACTTCGTGGTTGAGAACGACCAATCATAAAACGGAGCTATCATAAAAGAGTGTTACCAACTTTAGGGTCATCAAGACCCAACCAGCCAGAGAATGCCATGATTGTGAGTGAGGAATTCCAAAATCGAAATTACGTATCACGTAATTTATGGTACAGACTTGCCCTTTCATAATTGGCTGGAGGTGGAAAGACTCTGACGACGCATTAAAGTTGAACGACGAAACAATCACATTTGCACAATTAATTATTTGCAGTTCAACTGGCTATTTGTAACAAAACAAACGCCGCCCTCGGTGGTCCCTTCGTCTGAATTTATTAAAAATACTGAGTTCAGCTTTAAGAAAACGTTTAAAGTGCACGCAAGCAAATTCGACTCTTATTCTTGACAAAAGGCAATACCAAATTGTTTGTTAAATGACTGCTTTGCTTTCAACCTTTGCTCAACTTCCTACCATCAATGGCTTTGACAGCCTCTTTCAATTCAAGGGGTCTAGGCGGGACACGAATGACTACAGTTATGTACACTGGCACTAGCTACTTTCTTTTTTGCTGTGAAGAGTCTGCAGAATGCAACAAAATCTGGGGCAATACAATTATTCTGCGATAATTGCCGCGCAATTTCCAGTAAAGTGCTTCCTTTCCCTCTTCCGTTTGCATTCCCTCCCCCCCCCGCCCATCCATACATTTATGGCTGTAGGCAAGCCAATTCAGTGCTGGATACCTCAAGAGTTCACACGGGGCTGGGAAGAGTACGCAGAAAACTACTGCTGGGTGGCAAACACCTACTTTGCACCGGTAGAAAAAAGTCTCCCTCCTGTGCCAGACAGGTTTGTTTCAAATCTCCTTCCCCCATTTTTTTAATTTGTCCTTTTTCTACTTGCCCATCAACCTCTATTAGCATTTACTTTTTTAATTTTATATCCGTCATGATATTTTTTTTAATTTCTATTAAAATAATTTAGCAATTTTTAAACCTGTTTTAATCTAGTTATGCTTGTTTGCATAAAAAACTTTATATATTTTTTGTTGACTTCTTAGATATGTATTAAATGTATGTCCATCCTAATAATAGTTGTTATATATGAAGTAGATATTTATATATACAATAAAATAGTATATGCATATTTATTTTATATTATAATATATTATAATATGAGGTAAACTCCTCTTTTGATCCATATATCCGGGTTATTTTCTAGACTGACAAAGTACAAAGACCTGTTAACAAATAATAGAACTTTTACACTTTTTATGCTATTATAATGCCTGAACTTAGTGAAATTGATATTACTTTTGCCTGAAATATTGGTCGCAATATTAGAAAGTATCCACTCATGCTAGCCAATATATCGTTAAATTTTTTTTAACTGTGGGAGTGCTTATTTTTATGCCTACTATAAAAACCAAAAAAGCTTTAAAGGTGGTTATGTAAAAAAATAATGCGTAACCTGATTATACGACAAAAATTACAATATCGTGTTCTTTACTTAAAGACTATTAAAAAGGTTGACTAGAAATTAGGCCTTATAGCTCATATATTCTCATAATTAAATTATTCTGGATGTTGTTTGAAATCAAATGCAGAATAAAAAAAATATATTTACTAGTTCTAGAAAGCTCATTGAAAGGTAAACTAAACTTAAAAGTGTAAAGATACATTGAGAAACATCCTTCTATAAATTCAATCAGATGTTCTAAAAGGTGATTTACTTGCGAAAATGGAGCAAGCATTACCACATTCTACATCAACAGGCTACTTACATCCTTAATATGAGTAGTCTTTTACATCGAATCTTCCCATTTAACCACTGACATGAAACAATAATATAGGAGAATAAAGTGTAAAAAGCAAAATAAAATCAAACTTACATCGTAAAATCAAGCTTACGATTCAAATTATTGTGGCTGTATGTGTGATTGTTTGCTTTTAATTCTTTGATAAATTACAATGAAACAATAGGAGAGATGCGCCAAAAAGTAATAAAAGAAAAATGACTTTAAAATATGATCGATATAATAAGAATAGTTAACTAAATCTTTCTTCTGGTAAGTAGACTTTAGTCTAATCAGCGTTTAAAAAGAAATCAACAGGGTACTTGCATCCTTAATCTGAGTAGTATTGTGCATCGAACTTCCCTTTTAACAGCTGACATGAAACAATTAAAGTACTCCTTCATTTAATGATGTGTTTCTTTAATAACAATATAAAAATATTTTTGTATATAGCCTCATCATAAATCTAAATTCTAGGTGTGATTTGGCCTAAATATTTAGGACTATAGGCATTATAATCATCATTTTTGTATAATATGCAGGAATAATGTCCCAACGGATCAAGCCCACTCAAGGCATTGAGAAGATTCAGAAATGTAAAAGTTTGATGTCAAGATAAGTACACCTCAATCCAAAATTTTAGTGAAATAATATA